AATCTGACTGGGATCACAATACAATTAATGTTATTGCAATATAGCTAGTGCATGTGTATTGTGAAATACAACTAAGAGAAATTAATGGCTACTTTTGGTTTCATACATTTATCCGCATTTCTTTAGAAGCCTATTTTTGCTTTTTGAAAGTTCTTCCACATATACTGAGATGTCTCCTCTCTAGCATGAATAAAACATATGTTTGAATTTGGTTTACCCTAGCATTCCCTCTAAAGATTTAAAATGCATCATTTATTATCTATACCATTCTTTGATAATGAGGGTTATCTATAGGACAATCCTTGTCCCACTTTACTGGGGCATTCGTGTTGAGAAAACTATGGACCTAAAGATTCTTATTAAAGATTTATTCAAATCTGCAAGGACCAGGATCAAACAAGAGAGAAGTCTGGATGCAAACCCAGCATGGCAAGGCCATGAGATGTAGTTTCAAAGAGCCAAATTATATACTTCCAAAACGGGAAGTATATAATGTGCAGTGAGTACTCTCAGTGCTTGTAGTGTTTTTTCTTATTTAAGTCTAGCTTTAAAATATAGTGGGCATAGTTCACAATGTACCTGTCTTAGCTCTTGTCTAACTGCCCCTCTACATGCTTAAATTCAATGTTTAGATTCTCCTAACTCTTGCACAGAAAGAAAGTTAAGAGCAATAGGCACTAAACTTTTCCTAAGCAATAAAAATCCCTAAATAACTTAATGAGTCACTCAGTGCATGACCAGAAACATCTGAAGTAGGAAAGTGTTTCGCAGGTAGGAATAGACGACATCTTCATTAGCAACCAAACCAGGCCAGGACCCACAGTCTGCCCCAGGGGTAGATGGCATGGCACAAGTCTCATTACACAGCTACGCCCACTTCCCTCCAGAGCTGAAGAGCTTCATCCATCCCGTCTGCGAGGAACAGCCCCTGATCAGGGGCATTGTCTGGGGGGTCGCTGTTGCACAGGTCAAAATGGTGCCAAGGAGCATGCTACCAGATTAGCAGAAATTGGCAATGTTTGTGTCTCCTCTGACTTGACTTTCTCTAATTTATTGGTATAGATGTATTCATTAGCTTGCTAAAACTTACTGCTCAGCCAGGATGAGCACCTTTCTACAAATCCTGTTATACCTCTTGTTCTTCTGTCTAAGGAGATTTTTCTCTGTTTTTCCCCTATCTCATTATTTTAGGGTAGGAGTACCTCAATTTCTCCTGTTAAAAGTGTTTGCCTTGTGTGGAATAATGAGATACCAAGTGGAAGAAAAGAGGAGAGCCCAAGAATGGGCTTATGTGGTCTAATGTTAAAAACAATTAGGTGGGAATGGAAAGGCTGAATCACAGCCTTGTTCCAATCACTGTCAGAATGGGATCAGTCCATACATGGACCAAGTTAATTAAACTGGTATATATTGCATCTCCAGTTGTATCACTATGATGTTCTGTATGGACACCATGCCTGAAATTTGCATTAGAGACAACAGCTGAGAAAGTCAGTCTGCACAACATGCATTTGTTTACTTTGGTTAGATGAGAGAAAAATAATTTGGTCCAAGGTATGTGAATGCTATTTAGTATATATACATTCATCTTCAATTTGAACAGTTAAAGCAGCTCCTATGTCTTTATAAGTATTTTCTTTTGTCATGTCACATCTCTCTGTGAATTAATCTACATTCCATAACAATCCAATTAACAAAAACCTGTCAATTTTCTGGCAATATGCAGATGTGCAAATTAAATTAATCGACTCATGCTGTTTGAGGTAGTTCTTTGCTGTTCTTACTATGAGAAACATGAAAAATCTTTCTTTGACAAGATTGCTTGTAAAATAGATTCAGCAAATTAGCAAATCAAGAAGATAAATGTACTCCTAGATGAGATCAAGTTAGGCCTTGTGCAAATCATGTCACACTTCTCCAGTTCTTTCAAATCCATTGTTTTTTCCAATGTTTTACAATCAATTAAAATTTCTGTGTCTACCAAGGTGCGGAGAAGGAAAGAACAGAAGTGCCACTATTCAGGCCCAGCCATTTATTTTCAAAGCTGACTGCCTTTGTAGCAAGGAAATCGGTAGATAGCATTCCCTCTAAACATACAGTATCTTCATCATATTAAAGTATCTATCTGTGATCATGTATAAATAATTAGCAATTATATATAAATTAGCAATATATATTTCTGAGTTGTCTTTTAGAGATATTGCTGCATATCTTTTGCAGGCTTGCACAAATACACTTACAGCAGTTTCTGATTAGTATTTTAAAGATTACCCACACTATAAAGCCTCGCAGCTTAGAACGGAGTCTGTGGAAGTTCTTTGGCACCTACTTTACTTTAAAGTACATATACCTAAAATGTAAGTCTTCAGGATCCTCACTCAGTTATTAATTCTTTTAATCAATAAATGTTCTATGGTTATATAAAAATATTTGCTTCCAGCATGCCAGACCTACTAAAATATTGACAGCACTGAAAAGAAATATACCTAACCTTGTCAGAACCTACAGAGTAAATATTCCCATTTCTATCTCATCTACTGGGTCTAATCCAGCAGGTATTCTACTTGTGTGCTTTTTAGAATGAGCTCTGACAGTAAGCAGTATCAGGAGAAGAAAAGGTGGTAGCGCAACTTTTCTCCAGCAGTCTTACAGCCCATATATTGACCCTGGAAGCTAGTCACTTGAGTTCCCTTCCTGTGGAGGAAATAAAGGCTCCAAATAGTACCTTTCTTTCCTATACGATGTAAAACATCTTCACAGAAGAGACCAAGAATAACTCCTAAATCACTTCCAGCAAAAACGTGGTACCCTCAGTGTGCCTGAATCACTCAACCTGTATCATGTCAGACAGCAGAGGCTTTAGTCTGTGTTTCCCACCCTCGTGCTGACCACTGTAATCATGGTGTTGGATGAATGGGAAGGGTGAGCAACTAGCCCCTGCAGCACCAGTAAAGTTGATAGCAGCCAGTTTATTTAGGGCTTTGATTTGTTTGAGTAAACAAGGATCTGCCTACACTACATAAATGGGCAGTTTCATTACTGCTGCTGGGCAGAAACAGGAACAATAAAACACCTTAACCAAGATTTTCTGGGAAAGCATTGATAGGGATCCATCCTTGCTTCGCTCACCCAGAACAGCTTCTTTTGCTGTAAACCCCCCCCCCCCCCAAAAAAAAAGACTGTTTAACACATTTTCATTGAATGAAGATATTTTCTGAGCTCACTTTTTGCAACACACTTCTCAGAAATAAATCCATGTACTTCGGAGGAGCTTTGGAGAAGAGCCAAAGTGAGATCAGTAAGGCTGTGCCTGGGTGCACATTTCCAGTGGAGTAGAATGTACTGCAGAGTTCAGCCCTCTATCCTGACCATTTTCAAGTAGAATCAGCGTTGGGTTTTATGCCTTAAAATTGTTGCCCTAGTTTAGGACATTATGGCTTCTATAATCCTTCCCATGCTTGGTGGGTAATTAAAAGCAATAGTTTGCATCTGCTGAGTGAAGCAATAAGCATTTGTATAGGACCTTATGGTATGCATCTCTTGCATCATCTACCATGCTGATTTTAGGAAATACCTGAATGTATTTCTTAGCAGTATCAATCATCCATCACCTAATGCCATTTTAATGTAAGATCTAACAAAAAGTCCTATTTTCTTTGAGAATTACTGCCTGGAAGACATTTAATGTTTATCAGAGTAGGCATGGTAAGACAGGTTCTTACTGGGGAGGAAGCAGCTCAGTGCCTCTCGGTCCCATGGATGGTCTGTGAATTACCTTTACTAAAAATTGCTGAAAAGGATTCTTAACTGCTTTGACCATTCTCTGTAATTTTAATTCTGAACATAGATTTAGATGATGACTTTATCAAATGCTGTGTGCCATCACACGGCACATACAGGACAACCAGGCGATCAGGCCCAGTCAGCATGGGTTCATGAAAGGCAGGTCCTGCTTGACCAACCTGATCCCCTTTATGACAAGGTGACCCGCCTAGTGGATGAGGAAAAGGCTGTGGATGTTGTCTACCTAGACTTCAGCAAAGCCTTTGACACTGTTTCCTACAGCATTCTCCTGGAGAAACTGGCTGCTCATGGCTTGGATAGGCGTACTCTTCACTGGGTAAAAAACTGGCTCAATGGCCAGGCTCAAAGAGTGGTGGTGAATGGAGTTAAATCCAGTTGGTGAGTGGTCACAAGTGGTGTTCCCCAGGGCTCAGTATTGGGGCCGGTTCTGTTTAATGTCTTTATCAATGATCTGGACGAGGGGATCAAGTGTATACAATTATTCTAATTTTTGGAGTTCCAGATCAAATTGCAAATACTCTCACAGCTTTTTGAAACTCTTCTAAGAACATGATCCGTAACATTTATTAGATATGTGGAGCTAAACTGGCATTTGTTATAAAGAGCTGAGGGTCCTGCCCTGACATGGGATGTTTGTCATTTTAAAGTATTTGAGCCTCCCTAATCAAAAGGCATGATGCTGCAAAGACTTTGATAATTAGTTTCTGTGTTTAAAAAGTGAAAAGATGATAGACTGATCGAAGAATCTTAGTAGCCTCAACACCAAGAACATGATTGTTTGTCTTGATCAATTCATGAGGGATTTCCTAAATTCCCTGGAAACCCAACTCGAAAGCATGACTCCAGGCACAGATCTGAATAACAAATTAGATCATGTAAATGGCCTTACCCAATTCGGTACTTACAGGGCCACTATCCTTAGAATATAGAATCAATCATAGAATCATAGAATGCTTTGGGTTGGAAGGGACCTTTAGAGGTCATCTAGCCCAACCCCCCTGCAGCGAGCAGGGACAGCTTTAACTATATCTATTCATTAGAATATAGCCTACCTAAATATCTGGGTGCTTCATGATCTTTAATGTACTTGAATGAGTCACTAAATTATTAAGACCACAATTCAAATTATTAGCAATTTATATAGGAAATTGAAGAAAGCTGATGTAATTATTCCATTATTCTACTGTGCTTTGCAGGTCCTAAAATGGTAGAATTCCATGGTCAGCAATTTCAGATCAACTCAAAGGACGGCAAGCCACTTTTTACAGTGGATGAAAATGAGGTTGTAATTGGCACAGATAAACTTCGAGTCACAGGTTTGTAACAGTTTAAGAAATGCCCAAATAATAACCACAAGAAAAGCACAATAAAATGACATTTTTAAATACATCATTGTGTGTGAACACAAGTTCTGGTTTCACCTCATTAGGAAATAGAAATCTGAAGATATTCTGACCTTTTTCAGTAAATAATCAATAAGAACTTTTAACAACAAAATAATAATATGTATATATAAATATGTATATATGTCTGTATATGTGTAATTTAGTTTAAAGACATTAGTGATTGGAACTATACTAGTGCATTTTTTTTTCTGAATTATTTAACATTTCCAGTGCACACCATTAACTGAGCCTGAAAAAAATTCTGGATATTCCAGTTTGAATTGTATTGAATTTTATTTGTGAAAACTTTTTAGGCACTCTCTGTTATTTTTATTTGGTTTTATCTTTCAAAGTGAAAGCCACTGTATTTCTGCTCTGTGTGTAGCACATATGTCACAGGATGGTATTGGTATATTTAAAATGTCATCTGTCAAAAGGCAAGTTTGTCTTAGGCTATTTCTGCAAATCACCAAAGTACTCATTTACAAAGTAAGATGTCAAAGTTATCACATGAAAGGCTGTTTCCTTTCACATGACCTGATAAAGTCAACCTTCATTTTCCAGGCGTAAGGTTGCATTGAAACAGCTACATCAAGGTGTGATTTCTCTTAAGCAGAGGAGTCCATCAAAAAAAATACTGAAATTATCCGTAACTTGTTTTGAATTACATTTTTAATATTTTTAACTTGATTGCAACTATTGTGTTTAGCTTTTGCTAATTACTGGTCCTCTGAAATCTTGAGGTCTTAATTTGATTGGATATATTCATATTATTTCACTGTGCAAAACTACAAATGTGGTAGTAACTATACAATTACTGTTTCAAAGCCAAAGTTAAGTTATAACAACTGTGTTAATAAATTTTGTTTACGCCTGAGGGTCTTATCTTAAGTTTTTTACTTTTTAACCTAATTGAAATTACAACTTTGTTTATCCAGGAAACCATATCAAATAATTATTGTTTGCCCAAGGGATGCTAAACTTTAATAGAAAAGCATGTTTAACAAAGATATGAAAAACTGCATAATTGTTAACTGATTTGGAAAAGGTCTGTCTCTGCTCAAAGTAAGTAAAAATCATTCATACACTAGTTGAAATTATTATGCTAAAACATGTATTCTGACTCGTCCAATATTAATCTTTACACTGCAAGGATAATTGTTTACTGTAGCAGATACTGTAAAAAGACACATTGCCTGTTTCTTTTTTACACTGTAGTACAATTCAAAAGCAAATCCATTAAAGTCATTGAGGTTATTTCCAGGGTAGAATTAATATAAGTGAGAGGAGTTTCATGCCTACTTTGCTTCAAATTAATTTATTAAAATTGTGATTTAAATGATACTATTAGCATGAAGGATAAATTAGTAATACTTTGCGTACTGAGATAATTTTTTAAATATTTTAGATAGAGAATAAGATCAATGTGAAATAAATTTTGAGAAGTTCATACCATAAGAAACAGACTATGTCAGGCTTAAAACACACAAAGAACATTTTGCAGTTTTTTTTATCTACAATATAGTGAACTATTTGATTTTACTTCTACTTATTTATGTGAATTATGAAAAGTTCAGTAACAATTTGTAAGGAAACCTGACAGTTTTCATCTAAAATATAATACAGCAGAGTGCAGATGTTTGTGATTTATGGTATTTCAGGCAAAATGAAAAAGTCTAAGAATAAGCTCATCCAACCCAACACCTCAGGAATTGTCATTTTCCAACAATTTGATATGTTTGACCTTACACTGTTGCAGTTCAGACGTTTTATGGCCCATGTGGCAGAACAAAATAGTGGCAGACTCTCTCTCTCTGTTCTCCTCAGAAGAGGAAATGCCTGGAGAAAGCCATGATCACCAAAGTGTCTCAGATACCCAGCAGGGTCACTGATGGGTCTAGATGCCCATGTTCAGACAGCTGAATTGAACCCCAGTCAACATAGTCAATGCAACCTAGAGCATGATTCACCTCACCTTGAAGGAGACACTTAGTCCTGGCATGTGGAGTGCTTTTCTGCCAACCAAATGCTGTTGTCTACTTTAGGATGAGCTCAACGGTTCGCTTGGCTCCCTTGAATACAGTGTCTGAGTTCAGATGTTTAAACATAGGCATCCAGCAGTGTTTGGAACACCTTAGGGTATGTGAGACACCACATAGTATCGCTGTACCTACAGGAGACACTTCCTTTGATCGTGGCAGCTGGAGGCCAGGCAGGATGTACAAGGGTATCTTAGATGACAGTAGGTACCTATGATTAGGCAACTAAATTCCGCCTCTAGCTCATCCATTACACCTACATCATAGACACTTAAATTTAAGTGTATGAAACTGAAGCTCAACTTAACCCATCATGACACTTAATGCTACCTGGAGGAGCATGTGCTCCAATTACATCCTCTCTAATATTATTTCAGTAATTATCTGCATCTTATTTCAGTAATTATCTGCATCTTTTGCAGACATTTATTATGCTGCTACAGAGGTATCGAATGTCAGCATTTTGTTCTGGTAGGGTTTTATACATTCAGTTGGCATTGGTGACAGTGAAACCCACCTTGTAACTGTATTGGCTGGCAAAGAGATGATCGCTTTATAACTAACAATATTGTCATGGCAGAAGGAGTAAAGTCACAGCACTGGCGAGAAATAAAGTTCTTCTGCACAAATGTCTAGAGTCCATGGCTGTAGGAGTCCTGTTTTTCTACTCCCTTGCTTGCTCTGCAAACTTGCCAACTAGAAGTCTGTCCATAGGAGGGAGAAAATAGGCCCAAGTAAATAAAATTATATACGACAGAAAAATAATTAACATTCAGCAGCTATAAAATGGTCTCAACTACTGCACAAAAAACTTTTCAACAAGTACAAATAATAATTTATATATCGTGACTGTTGCATAGGGTAATATTTTGGTGATGAGTACATACGAAGTTAATAGAAGGTCGTTGCTTACCCTCCACTCTTCTTGAAAAGCTGGCAAGACAGAGGTGATCAGTATCTTTATGGAGAAGTTCATTATATCACACTTCCTCCAGTTTACTACTTGTTCTTCTGCTTGCTTGTCTTTCATAATCTCTTAAAAGTATTTGCTGAGTATTGTTGGTGATTTTCTAGTGCTCTGTTCTATGGAAAGGTTTTCAGTTTGAGTAGCTAACGCTGAAGTGCAATGTGAAGATGTGTGTTTAATTTAAATGCTTCTGCTCAGAAGGTAAGTTAAGTAGGAGACAGTTTGAGGGTATTTGAGGGAAGTAAACATTCTGTTAGACTTTGAAGAGGCAGATAGTCCTTGCTTGATAGTGTGTGGGGGGGGTGTTAATGAAACTTGCTGACTTCAATCCTCCCATTAAGAAAATTAATATCTTGATCTTGTGTATTTTAGGATTGAATTATGTTATATTCATAAACAATATGAACAAAAAAGTCTATAAAATAGTAAATATAGTAATATTCATATAATAATTAATGTTATTTCTTTACAGTTTAAAAGATAAAGTAGGTAATGAAGACAATAAATCAATTTAGGGCCATTTTCAAAAAAAATTTGTCCCAAGTTTTTTTTTTTTTTCAGTCACACTGTTCAAACTTAATGCTGTTTGATGAAGAAATTTTTCTCACAGGAAGGCAAGGTTTTACTCTTGATGTCTGCCAGCAAAGTGAAGCTCTGCCTCTGGCTACATGGTCCCTGATTTCTTCCTCTTTCATGGTTCACCTTCAAAAAGCAAAGCAGAGGGTGAGATCCCTAGGGTTGTTCACTGCTAAGCATGGGCTTCAATTTCCTCTAGTGAGGAGGGAATGCTCCAGTTACAATGCTGTCTTGCAAAGGCATTCAGAAAGATTATGTTAATTAAAATGCTGTAATTGCTGGGTTTTAGTGCTGACTCCAATGCTCTTGGTTTGCACAGGCTGAGAACTAGCAATACAATAGGGCTCCTCTGGCGAGTTTGGTCTCTCTGGTCTCTCTCTGCTCTCTCTGCCTTGTTCCTGAGCCACAGTGGTGCTTACACCAAGAGACCTGCCATCCCGGACCAAGAGATAAGAGCAGATCCCTAAAACAAGGATCTGGTTTATTTCAAACAAGGCTTTAGCAGCCATGATTGCACTCAGGCCTCCCAAATCTTGCTTTGTATAGATGTTCACTCCCCTCCTTCAATCAGTTTTGCCAGGCTCCTCTTGCTGGCATATCTCTGTGCATATCTGGTCATCTTTAACACAAAAAATCCAAACCTTGATAGGAATGTAAAAGTTGGACTAGAAGATGCATCTGATTTATCAGCTCGCATCCCTTTCATAGACAGACAAGTAGGTCATATAATTTCTTTTATAATCTTATCAAGCTATATCTTAAATGCAAACAAACACTATTCATTTTTATATCACCAAATGTGAACTTATGTCTAAAAGGTGCTGTAGGAGAAATACAAAAGGCTGTATATAAACAGGTCCCAGACTGAAATTAGAAAAGCCTGTGAGACAGAAGAGTTCCCTCCACTGCCATTGCCATGAGCTCTACCTTCCTTGTGCCTTGCAGCTCTGCACAGCCCATAGCAAGACATTGTGAGGACACATGGCATCCCACGCCTGCTGCGAGGTGCCCCCAGCAGCCTGTCAGCCCACTAGCGAGCAGGCTGCAGATCTAGTTTTGAGGATGGCTTTAAAAGTGACCTCAAGACTCAGTAGGGCATCGTGAATTTTAATTACAAAGAGAAGTAGATTTTTGAGTAATAAAGTTTAGGAACATTGTCAAAGCATTCAGGATCAGAAAATATTGCTAGACAAGTTAGAGCTTAAATAATTGAGAAGGAGCTCAAGTATAGAGAGATAAGCCTAAACCTGGATGACCTGATAAAGTCATATTTGCAAAATAATTGAGATATCCCTTTATTAGTGACTTGTCCTTTACATTCCTATCGCCTCTTTCCCAGTGTCTATGTC